TGAAGATGTACCAATGTGTATTTGCTTTGGTTTCTTCTACGTCGCGGAATGGACTGTTTGAAGCCAATACCTATCACCTGGTTCAAACAAATGTATAACAATACGATCGCTTCATTTTACTCAACAATTAAAAGGTAAATTTAAAATGGTGATTCTAGAATTGTAGATCAGGTTGTATAATGTGGGTCATGGGTGCAAATCAGGTATCGAGCCGCCCATCACCATTGATTCGCTGGCACCCGAACGATGGTTTCGGTGCCACCGCTTTTACATTTTTTATCTTTTTTTTTGTCGTTTTCTTTTCTTACACCCTTCGAATGCCAAATTTGTTTAAATCTTGTATTTGGCTATTTTGAATGTGACTTTTAATATTTTCATAAATGGCCAGCTTTCCGACACACGGACGTCACTCAGTTCGCTCCACGTTTTTCCCGGACCCAGTCAGTTTTCCCAAGGAACGCATCCTAGCGGCTACGGAAGGCAAGCAAAGGACGTTCAATCAATGTGAGTTCTAGATGAATGTCGAAAAACTTCATTAAGTATGTAAGTAACGACAAAATCAGATGCTTCCGATGATTTTCAAAATCAGCAAGAAATCAGGATTGAAGTAATGTGGAGAGACCATTACGGGGGATCGGGAATGTTGGGAAGTTCATTGTAGAGCCCTTTACGTTTGAACTGGGTGAAGGTGAGTATCTGAAATGGACCACTAGTTAGTGTCCTCGTCTCGGACACCATTTGGACCAACAAAGACTGCTGGTATTACTCACGTAGTTACTCGTCCCTTCGACGTGCTGGACAGTGACAGTGTGGTGCTTGAAGGACTTCGTAAAAGCTGCCTTAACCTGAAATGTGGGGAGTATTGTCAGGGACCATCCGCCGTACCCAAATTGTTTGGAAGCTCCTTTGCTCTAGCAGTGAGCATAAGAGTAATTCTTTGAATGAATCTTTTTTTTTCTCGAAAGTCATGCGTCCTGTTGGATGCGACCAATTGCCAACTCCTTTCTACACCGCCCTAGCCCCCGAATAGTTCCCCTCTCATGGTTACCCATTATTTATTTCTATGACGATTAAAACATTTTCATGAGCCACTTAGATGTGGTGCAGTGTTTGCGGTGACCGGTAGGCTCAAATAAAATTGCTGCATTGTTGGAAAAGGCTGATCGTTCTAGAATGGTTCGGTTAATTGGTACCAGGCTCGTCGGAGAGGATAAAAGCAAAGTTCGTTAACGGCTGGTCACCTTAGGATATTGTATGGGCTACGCATGCTTCCAAATTCTAATGCGAGTCCGAATGGAAGACGAATGCGAGAACGCATTCCCAAAGGTTTATCCGTTAATATGAAATGGCATGGCAGCAAATCTTTTTGATGATGAGGCGGGTGGTGTCACTACAGCCGAGGTTATATTGATGAGCAGAGACTTCAATTCAGCGTCGATTTCATTGAATTGTGACCACGTACCACTCAAAATCGGTAGGCAGTCTTCGCGAATCATCGACTTTGGAATTTTTGAAGCTTACCTTGTTCGTGGATCAGTTTTGCCATGTAGTCTACAGATGTTTCATCAAGGAAGGTTTTGCTCGGGCAGTGAATGTCGTGGTCGGTTTCGATAAAGCAGGCGTCGAGAATTATGACATCGAATCGGCGACCTTAAAGTTACAGTTCGCGATAATTTTGGAGTATCCAGTTTAAGTGAAATAATGGAAACCGTTGTGCAGAATAGTGCAAGGGTGGCAAGGAAAGCGCGAAACAGGTCTATTTTAATTAATATATAATTTCAAAAAAAGTAGCAGGGTTTGTGCGAGATAGCCGTCCGCCTTCGTCAGGGTATCTCTCACAAAGGCGCACCATTCGTCTCGTTCTATGAAAAGAGCAGTCTCAACAAGGCTGGTGTAACACGGCCACTTTGGGTGTGTACGTCAGACAGATCGTTTTGGAGCCCTTTCTACGCCCTGTCTAAGCCATTTTTTAGACAAACAACGTCCCATGTACAATCCTTGTGGGCCTTATGTTCATTCTAGGGCCTAAGGAAGCATTTTTATCATGAACTGTACCAGCGAAATGACCTTTCACCATACATATGCATACATTGTTTTACTAAGATGGTTGAGTCGAACGGCAGCCAG